TTATTTTTCTAGATGGCATTATAAATGGAATTATTTTCTTAATTTCATTTTCAAATTACCCATTGACAGTCTAAAGAAATTGCAGTTGGGGGCTGGGGATTTAGCTCAGCGGCAAAAAGCGCCTGCCTGGCAAGCGCAAGGTCGTGAGTTCGGTTCCCGGTACCGGAGAAAAACCAAAAAAAAAACCAAAAAAAAAAAAAGAAAAGAAAATTTAAAGACACATTTTGAAAATTTCTTTTTTTTTTTTGTCTTTTTGAGACAGGGTCTCGCTATGCAGTTCAGGCTGACCTTCAGCTCACTTTGTAGCCCAGGCTGGCCTCGAACTTGCAAGGATCCTCCTGCCTCAGCCTCCCGAGTGCTGGGTTTATAGGCGTGCGCCACTATGCCCATCCATTTTGAAATTTTTTGCCCACTTTAAAAGATTATTTGTCCTTTTCTTGCTTCCATGCCCTGATTTACTGGTCACCCGTGTGAGAATTTTGCCCTGGAGAGCTCCTCCCACCTGCGCTGTGAAGCAGGGATCAAAGCAGCCCTGCTGTCTCTCCTGGGGGATCTGAGAATCAGCTTACCAGCTGGTAAGTGAAGCAGTCTGGCTAACTTGTCGGCATTAGGCAAACCTCGCACCCGGGACTGCTTGTGAGAGCAGAAGGAAGGGCCGGAGCGGCCGAGTGAGCAGGGAGGGCCAGGCTGTGTGCAGTGACGGGTCTGTGCCTCTCATGTGGTCCCGACGCTCACAAGACACGGACGGCTTTGTTCTCCTCACGTATGTTGTCAAACTTCCGCTAGAAAGCTGGTCCTGCCCCTGCTCCCTGCTGCAACAGTGAGGACACGCCTTTGCCCCGCCATTCCAGCACTGCGTTTTAAGGAAATTATTGCCAGTGTGACAGGTGAAAAGTGATTGTCTGAATATTCAAGGAAAAGTAGGTGGCTAACGTCTTTTATTCTTTTAATGTTCAGGACGTGTCCCGTTAGCCCACGCGCCCTGCGCTTTTGCAGACATCATTCTGCCTGTGTCCTGTTACCTGGCTTTCTTTTTGCTCCTCAATCTATCTATGCTCTGGCCTGTTCATGCAAGAGTCTCCACAGTCACTGGTGTTTTTTTTTGTTGTTGTTTCAACGACAATCTTCGTAGATGGTTCCATTTTCCATGACATAATTTGGTAATTTCCATATCACATTTGGATTCAACGAGTACTATTAAAAAGTACTCCATCCTTCCATGGTTCCAATTTTCCTTCCACGAACATGCTCACAGAACCACTTTTCACAATTTTATGTCCACAGAGATGAAGAGCGTCCCACAGAGGTTGCCTGCGGTGTTGGGGCGGCTCGAGCATGCAAAGGGGCTCCCTGCCCCTTACAGCAAGCGTGGACGGGACGGGCTGCTGCACTAGGATGTGAGCCCGCAGGGACCCAAGTGGGCCCCCTGTCCGTGGCACCCAGTGGCCCTCTGCAGGGGGAAGGAGGGAGGAAGCACGCAGCCACCCTGAGCATGGCCGGGCTCACCCAGCGCAAGAGTGAGGTGACAGCAGAGCAGGGAGACGTCACTGTGTCAAGCGTCACCGCAGCCCAGCCATTTTCCTACACGTGCTGTGCTGGGGAATGGCTGGGTCTCCCCCGGCATGGCGCACATGGAGTAGCCATGAGACAGAAAATCACTTGTCCCAGAAGCTGGACACTTGGTCTCGGCCCTCAGCACCCCACGGGTCCTCCAGAGAGGGAGGAGCAGGCTTCTGTGGGGGAGCAGGTTGGCTGCCATAACTAGCCGGTCATGTCTGCATGCGGCCTGCTGATTCTAACCCACTGCGTGACGGGTAGAGAAAAGTCATCTGACAGCCACGGTCAGGGAGGGTGTCCGGACAGAGCCGGGGTGCGGGACAGCCACGCGTGTTTTCACAGACCTTCACAGAGCACAGAAACCTTCCGTTTGCTCCCACAAAGGAAACCGCGTTCTGGTTGAACGTCCCAGTAAGGGAGGGACAGCGAATGCTGATGACAGCGGGAGTCAGGAAGGCAGCCGGGGCAGGGCGGACGTGGGGCCCAGAACCCCCACCCGTGGGAACGAGGAGGGTGTTGCAAGCACCGATTCCCAGGTTTTCAAATGAATATAAAATGTACTGTTGTCTTCTGGTCTTCAGCAGTGGCCATTGCTGAGGGTCCCGAGAGCATTGACAGCCCCGCCCCCTACTGCAGAGCACAGGCCCGGTGCCAGATCTACTCTGGGAAGCCGGAGACCCGCGGTCTGGGCTTTGGCAGAGTGGACCCAGCAGTGAAACGTGGGACATTCGGGGGAAGCTGTTGGGGCACACGTGACCCACCAGCCCCTCTCCCTGCTCTTTCCCCCATTCTTTCTTTATTCATTTGCCCCCTGAATTGCTGCTTACCGGATCATAATTCAGACTTTTCCCCGTTGAAACCTTATTCCAGAATGCGATGAGGTTGGACAAGCTGGGGCCTCCACT